TTTCACTATCATTACGTCGTACTGCGAAAGCAAAGAGGATAAAAGGTAAAAATCTCACTCTCTTTCTCTCTCTCTCTCTCTCTCTCTCTCTCTCTCTCTCTTTCCTCGATCCTCTGGGATGGGACTGCTAAGGAGGAGGTTGGGAAAATAGCATGCGCGCTGCCGGCATGCGTTTCTAACGTATCGTATAATTTCAGCTATTTCTTATCTCGTTTGCCCGCAGTCTTATTTGCTTGTGCCCTCTTACGACGATACATTCGTGGGGTACTTGCGAGAATTTCGCGTTTAACATTCGTCGCTCTTCAACTGTGTATTTGCGAAATCGACCAAGTCAAACACGGTACGACGGAAGATGCAAAATGTGAAAAGAAGAAAAAAAAGACTCGTTGCGAGCTGTTTTTTTTTAATATTCTTTTAACTCTGTGTTTGCAATCTGGGTCTTTTTTAGTACAAGCGACGTTTCACTCTCAATGTATTTCCAAATAAAAGAGCGCGGAGTTCTTCTGAAATATCTTATGAAAAAACTTTGATAATGTAATAGAGATAACAAAAGAGTAACCCTAAATTTTCCTATATTTTTTTTTAAATCTAAAACAGTAAAGAAAACTTGAACTGGATAGAAGAAGTAAGAATGTGAGTTGCAGATGAAGAATTAAAGAGACATTTTAATTCATTCTGATTTCAATTTATTGATACAAACATATATTGTACGTCGCGTACGCCAAAAATTTCGTGTCCGAAGGTATCACAATGAGGCGAATCTTTAAACTACTTCCTTTGACGACGAAAATCAGCTCTATTAAAATGGTTCCGCCCGGTTCCCATTCGTTGCTCTCGGCCGTCGCACGGATCGCGTACCATGTCACGTTATTTTACATGAACGCACGCACGCATGCACGCGAATATTAGATATTCCTGCAATTGCTTTACGCAAAAGTCTTGCAAGCTTCATATTTACAATTTATTCGTGAGTTTTGGTCAATTGAAACTTACTCTGTTTGTTGTAGAATATAAAGTTTGTGTTTAATTCTCGGTTAAATTTAATTAGGAATAGTTTAGTGTTTTATTTATTTTTAATATCTTTGGAGAGATAATTGCGTTTACGCTAAGCCGCTGATGGATTCTCGTCGCGAGCTCGCTTAATATCGCGTCACATTCTAAACTTTTGGGAATGAAATTTCACTTTCAAAGAGTAATAGTTGTACCAATCCGACAGGAGTGAAATTTTCACTCTTAGAGAGTGAAGAATTACTCCAAATGGGAGTCAATTTTCAATTTATGTAAAGAGTGAATAATTTCACTCTTCGAAGGGAGGAACTAAAATTTCACTCTGATAAGTGTTAAGTTTAACCTCCCATCTAATTAAAAAAATGATTAGACTTATATCTAATTAAAAAATGATTAGACTTATTCGACGTGTTTTTGCACAAAACAAACGAATGTGAAAAAAATGTCGCTCTGTCTTGCGAAGCGAGATATAATATATCATTAAAGTTTTTGACTTTTTAGGTTAGGTTAAGAAATTCACTTCTTGCCAGACTGGCGCAACTATCACTTTTCTTGGAGTGAAATTTACTCCCAAAAATTTAGAGCACGCTATAATAACATTGTTCACTCATTGATTGATTCGTATATTTATGAGGAAACTTTGAGAGTTAGAATGGTCGAGATTGACAAATGTCTACTCTTTTACTTTCTCGATCATCTTTCTTTTAAAATCTTTTCTTTATCTGAATTAAGTAATGATATTCATCGATTTAAAAGATAAATTTTTGATTAAATGTGATTAGACACATTAGGTTATATCTACACTCTAAATTTCTTTGCAGTGAAATTTCACTCCAAGAGAATAAAAGTACAATCACCTTTGAAAAAAAAGTTTGAAAAAAATATTTCACTACTTGAAAAAGAGTGACTCCTTTTAGAGTGAAACTTCACTTGTTTTTGGAGTGAGATGTTACTCTTTTGAAGTGAAAATTCATTCTAAAAAAATTGAAAATTGTCATATTTCCACTTTTTTTCAAGGATGGTTGTATTTTCGCTTTTTTTGGAGTGAGATTTCACTGTAGAAAATTTAGAGCGTAATTACAAATTAACTAGAAAAAACCGGATCTAAGTAGGTATTTCTCCGTATATTTTTGAATTACGAACTGTTGCAGATATCTCCGCGTAAATCGCTTCGCGAATGAATTGATTCTCGTATAATAAGAATTAATATGACGATGCGGCATTGCGCCAGGTCGATCGAGCCAGGGCAAGCTCAATTTGCAAACATCGATTATATGAACGAAACATCAATAATTCCGCGAACGATATGCTACACCACCACGGTAAATGTACGCGCGCCTCAGTTTTTCTTAGTACTTGTGGACTGGAAATACCTAAGTGTCGCGGACTCTTTGAAAATCACTGCTATTTTCTTTTTTACTCGGCGGCGGCGGCGGCGGCGGCGGCGGCGGCGGCGGCGCGACGTTTTGGATTTTCCACTCGAGTTTCAAATGAAGTTATTTGTTATTTCTAGCTTTTTGTTTCGGCGTCTCAATGCAAAATCGTGGAAATGATTACGGAATGGTGACGTCGCGTGACCCCTGGCATGTAATGCGTATGTCGTCGAGGATTACCTTGTAATCCCTGCGATTGCGATGACTCAGATCGGTGACTTGACAATTGAGTAATGACTGGCAGTTAATTACGGATTAATATAAGTTATAGTTATTTGAAGCGTGTATGAAATACATGACACGACACGACACACAGGAAGACGCGCGCGCTTATTGCCGTTGCAATTGTCTGACTCTAATCTGTATTATTTAATTAAACGATTCTTTCGAATCCATTATGTGCGAAAAGAACGCTGAGGTTCCGTTTTAAATGCCATCACCATTGTTTTTGCGATCTGTAGCGAATACTAAGAGAAAGATCACCGAGATAATAGATCCATATTTGCATTATAAACGTAACGGAGGTGGCTACATTGACTCCGAGGTAGCAAACTTGAACCGCGATCGAACAGTCGGTCTTTGGATTTCGCAGGTACATAAACGGTT